GCCTCACAATGGCATATATTGCACTGTAGGTCGAGTCTACAATACTATGCATGCAACGCGACACTAGCGCGATAAACGCGACGTTCGCGCGACGCGCGCAACTTAGGCGACACTTCCGCGACATAGGCGACACTTCCGCGACTTGCGCGCGCTTTAGGCGAATTTTCCCGCGCCTAAGCGCTATAGGGCGCCTGACTTCCCACTGTGTTTTCCCATGTCCAACCAAGTTCCCAGGTATGCATTTCTCCATTTATCATTTATTTCAACATCGTACCATGTTTATTTTCACTTGGTACACATTTTTTCATTACACATTTTTTACACAACACAACACACATTACCAACGGACCACCATCATCATAGACAGTCACCATCTCCGAGTTTTTATTATGTTTTGAATAAATCATTGCAAGCCCTAGTAGCAGTTAGCTCTAGTGGCCATATCCGCATCAGTTGTCTTATCAGCATCTCAGTACACGTCTTAACATCTCACTATCGCTCGCATACCGCTTTCACCCAGTTCCGCTTTTCGACGCGCGACTTTCCCGCGCTTCGCGCGCCTATAGCGCCTTTGTTCCTGCGCTTTCGCCTTATCACGCGCTTTGCGCATTCCCCCTAGAGTTGACCAGTGGATATTTGCTTTCTCCGCTTCCCCTAAGGGACGAACATATCGCACTCATATTTTCCTCCCTTCAACAATTATATCAGCTGCACCCTCAGCTGAGTTGAAGATCCTTCACCGCACTAATCTGCCTCTCCAGTGCACGGAGCCCCGACCCAGACAACCCCCGCAAGTCAATCCCACCCCCCTGCCTACCTATAACCATCCGCAACCACACCATACAACCGTCGAAATCGCACAAGTTCCTGGGGGTCATAATTGACCAAAACCTCAACTTTAAAGAGCACGCCGCCCATTGCCATGGCAAAAGGAACAAAGTACGCGATGGCATGCAGACAGATCATCCGCCCCACCAGGGGCATCCATGGCAAGCTGGTAAAAAGGCTTTTCGAGAGCGTCATTCTCCCGAAGATGATGTACGCGGCGGATATATGGTGTGCAGGCCTAGTGGCGAAGGGCAGAGGAAAGAACGGAGGGGGACGAGGAGCAAGGGGATTCGCATCCCAGATGGCCAGGGTTCAGAGGACGGCCACATTGTTGATAACAGGAGGACTAAGATCAACCGCAACTGATATTCTGGATGCTCACGCTAATGTACTCCCCTTTCAGCAGGCATTAAGGAAGACATGCTATCGAGCATCCCTAAGGATGGCTACACTCCTCCCACCGCACCCGCTAGCCAAAGAAATCAAGAAAGCATATGAGTATAGCGAAAAACAACAGTTCCAGGGGAGAAAGCGATATCCCTCACCTCTACACAGGCTGATGAATGAATTTCAGATTAACCCATCCAACATCGAGAAAATTGAACCGGTCAGACATTACCCCAAGTGGGAACCGGACGTCGATACGCATATTGCAGAGTCAACGCAGCAAGCGGTAAAAGATGACACACTCGCCACGGAAGAACTACGGGCATATTTGGACAGATCATCAGTGGATGGGGGAGTAGGAGGCGCAGCAGTACTGATGAGGGGAGAGGAGGTGATAAGAAGGAAAAGATTGCATCTGGGAAGTGACGAGGAACATACCGTATACAAGGCAGAGCTGGCAGGGATGATCCTGGCAATCCAACTGTTGAAGGAGGAAGGAGGCAGCAGGGGGGGAACGATGGCGCTAGGCGTAGACAACCAGGCGGCAATACTCGCCACGACAGCATTCCAATCAAGACCAGGCCACCACCTAGCAGACATATTTCACGACTACCTGTGCAACTTGCTACCCCTCAAAGACGGCAGAAAACTAGTCATCCAGTGGTCGCTGGGCCACAAAGGCATACCTGGCAATGAGGCAGTGGACGAGGAAGCGAAGAAAGCCGCGTCAGGAGACTCCTCAGAAGCGCACGAACTCCCCAAGTCACTCTTGACCAGAGACGGCGCAATCAGAATACTCCCGCAAAGCAAATCCGCTCTCAAACAGCATTTCTATGGCAGGATCAAAGACGAAGCCGTGAGCATCATGAAAGAATCACCCCGTTACACCCAGCTCAACTCCATCGATCACACGGCTCCGTCCAAGAAATTCGCAAGCAAAATCGCAGACCTACCAAGAAAGCACGGGACACTACTCTTCCAACTACGCACCAGTCACATCACCCTCAACAAACATCTCCACCGCATAGCTAGAGCGCCGTCAGCGACATGCCAGGAATGCCATGCCCACGAAGAAGAAACTGTCCACCACTTCCTGTTAGTATGCCCCAAATTCGCCAGACAACGCAACGCACTCAGCATGGAAGTAGGACCGCGCCAGCTCCACATCAAATATCTTCTAAGCGAAAGCAAAGGAATCAGAGCGACACTCAGATACATTGCGCGCACAAGAAGAATGGAACAGGCTTTTGGAGACGTCACCCCCCCAGAGGAGAAGAAATGAGGAAGAAGGAAAGAGGGAGCAGCTAGAGAAGAGGAGAAGCGCACGCAAAATGTAACACAATATTCCAACGCCTTGAGACGGCGTCACTGTCCCTGCTCACGCACGGGCCATTGATTAGCACCGACACACCAGAGTCACGATATATATTTAGCAACGTATGATATCGTAGGTAGTGTCCACCATAGGGCCCCGCCCCACAGGACAATAAACAAGGATCCAAAAAAAAAAAAAAAAAAAGAGACTCGAGAGAGACTCGACGAGCTAGGGTCTTGGAAAGATGCTAAAGGGCTTATTTTTTTATTTTTTTTTATTTTTATTTTTTAGAAATGTGATGAGGTGTGACTGATGCCAAGATGAGAGGACCAGAACTGTGATTATGGCGCATGTGCTGTGCCTTGCATAAGTGTATGCAACACGTAAGGATGCTGACAAATATACTTGTTGTATTCGTCTGAGGACCATTGTCCTGCTGCCCAGATGAGATCTGGAGCCATTCCTGCTGCTGCAAGGGCTGTTGCCCCTCCTGCTCGCATGGAATGGCCTGAGAATTGTGTCCCACAAAATGGTGTAGCCGGCGCAGGAACCAGGCACGTGTAGGCACACTGCCTGAGCTGGTAACCCAAAGAGCTGGATGGTGAAGGAAGGAGGCATCGCGAGTGCTGAGATAGCATTTCATGTTCTTCATTGGATCATATGGCGCTTGTGGTTCTTCATAGAGGAGGATTGAGAAACTTGTTCCCAGACTGTCGTTCTTCTGATAGGGCAGGATATAACAGACTGATGTAGCCGTCCAAGTCAGAGTGTGATGGAGTGAGATCTTGCAGTAGCTTTGGAGTTTTACTGAGTCTGGCCAGACAAGCTCTCCAAGCCGTTGGAGGCTCTTGAAGCCAGTTATTAGTATTGTGACGAACAAGCAATCATCATATGATGGTTGATCACCCACGATGTTTACCACGCATGCAAAATCCTCCAGGCTAATAGGCAGTTTTTGTTGAATTGGTCTTGATAAGCGACATTTGCATCCCTGCAATGTCTGAGTTACCAGTGGTGAGAGCTGGGCAGCGCGTACATCAGGATACATAGTCTCCAGCCGATTAGCAATACCGGAGAGATAGCTATCGACAGATCGGGGCTCAATGTGATGTGAGAGCCACACAATATAATATGACAATGTGTCAGGCGTGGGATCAATGACACGATGGTGGAGCTAGCAGAATGTGATGTAAGAATTGAGATGAGAATCATAAGCAGCTGAAGTAGATGATTCAATAGCAAACTCAAGAGCAAGCAAGCGCTCATAAAAGAGATGCTCATCTGTCCAGGCATCCCATATGGGTTGCCTAGACGACGCAGACACTGATCATTTTTTGGCTGCCCCTAGTGCATTCCGAGGGGGTTCAAAATCATAGATTTGCGCATCCGGTGCAAACTGCAGTGCTCGTTCATTCTGAAAGCGTGACAAGGCATCAGCCATGTTGTTCTCACTCCCACTCACATGTTCTACATGCAGATCCACATTATGCTGAATGAGGATGTCAACTGCGGAGATCAGGATGGAATTATAAGGAGGGTGTGCTTGCAATGTGTTAAACATAGCGACTGTATTCATGTTGTTGGTATAGATGAGCATCCTCAGGGGAACCTCAGGCATATTCTGAATGGCGTGAATCACCAAACAGACAGCCAAGGCTTCCATAAAAAAGATGGTGTCATGTGGTGCACCATCTGGCAAGGGACTTTGGCAGGCAAAATTCTCATTGGGAAACCAAAGACCTAACCCAACTCCAGATGCATCAGTGTATGCAACCACCACATCCTCAGACTGTGGGATGAAGTCCAGGGATCTATAAAATAGAAGACCAGGTGAATGACTGATGTGATCTGCCATCCAGTGAACCTTGTGAATGATGGCATTGTTGACATGTAGCCGAGCAAATGGCTTTGATTTCCCGCATATCTTCTCATAGATGGCAGATAGTCCTGGTTTCAGAAGAGGAAACACATTAAAACTCCATTCACACCACCCGGTGAGTCATTGAAACTCTTGAAGTGACCACCTGTATCCTTTCCCACCAAATTGCTGCAGGTGTAACACCAGTGCTTCCTTCTTATGCTCAGGGAGTGTTGCTGACATAGCATTAGGGTCGATGTCAAAGCCGATAATGGTTAGTGGTAAGCCAAGCAGCTGTTTGGGTCGCTCGTGAGGCAGGCCAATCTTGTCCCATAATTGAAGTAGTTGTGTTTGTTTCACAGGAAAGGAACATTGGTAAGGTGGGTAATAGAGCTGCCAAGATGCAAGCTTGAAAGAGAAGGAGTCGTCCATATATGTTTTTAGTGCATCAATCAGGATCTGATGAATCGTGATCCAAGCGACCAAAGACATAAAGGAGATCCAAACTTTGGGCAAACCTCGCCCTCCAAAATTGTTATTGCAATCCACATTCCATTCCCCTTTTACAGTCAAAATCTGCTTTACTTGCCAGAGGGGGTGCATAGGCAATCTTCAGAAAGCCTGTGAGACATCAGATTTGAACATTATGAGCTCTTCGTTTGGGTTGTTCTCATGGAATTGAAGGAGCAAGGCACCCAGTGGGTGCAGACCATTTGTGCCTTTGATGGAGTCTGAATTGATCATCAAGTTAAGGGAATAATCACCAGCTGTGTGGTCGACTACGAGTTGCAATTTATCAGAGTTGGGTTTGGGAACTGTATGCATGGGCACACTGTACATGCCAGGGAGTAAGTCTTGTCCAAAGCTTTCAGAGACATGTCCCAAACGAATCTCTTCCTGTAATTGAGCCTCGATGAACAGCAACTGGTCATCAGTCTTTTGACAAGTCCGCATTGAGTTGTCGTTAGTTGAAGGATATGAATCATCCGGCACATCAGCCCAAGGCCAAAAGCCTCGACATAAGGCTCAACAAACTGAAATGACAAATGGCTGATTGGGATGTTTGATTAGCAACAATTGAAAGCGGTCAACATTGATAGGATAGATAATTTTGAAAAGATCAGGTCTGAGCAATACAGTCTGGGCTGCATCGCTGTTAGACAATGCAAGCATGTGGTAGGACTGAAGCTTGGATTGAATGGCGACCAGATTAGTCCTCATCGATGATGAGGATGTTTCAAAGCACTCTCAGCCTCATTTGGGCTTCGAGTCTTCGATATGTTTTATTTTAACATGTTTACATCCGCAGATGCGGCCGTCTTGCTCAAATGAGCAGATATGGGCATATCGACAAGAGGCTGCGCTACGAGTGCACTCACCTGTATTCCACTTCCGACAGGGATCACGTTTGTTGGATCCGGTTGACCCTCCAGCATATGATCCTCCAGAATTGGACTTTGAATCTGCAGTGTCATTGCATTGCTTTCCATCTGAGTCAAAATGCGAGAAGATAAGATCTTTGAACTCCCTGAAATTGGTGAGTTTGAGTCTCCACGAAGATCCAACCCTGTTTCTAACAGCTTTATCGAAGCGAATGACTCTTCCATGGGCTGATGGATTGGATTGAGAGAAGTACTTGGAGATGAATGAAAAGTATCCGTTGAGTTCAGCCTCTTGATGAGGGAAACTGAACTTGATGGAATCAGCTGCTTTGTTCCATGCTGCTGACCAGTCAGAGTCAGTGGTGATTTTCCTTGAAGCTGCTTCTGAGACACTGTATTTGATTTCAACACCCCTGAGGGCTTCGGTTTGCTTGTCAACCGCTCAAGAAGAGGTAATGATGGTTGTGGGCAACGTTGAGGTTGATACATTCCCCAGCGACAATTTCAGCCCATCCACTTTTATGGAACTCAGGTGCGTACTTGTGGTACATGAGGTATCGTTGAATCTCCTTTTGGTCTTGCGACCAGTTCTTGAGTATCTCATTGGTACACTTGAGACTAGGTGAGAGCGGTTGATACCTTCTGGTTCTAACAGCTGCCTTGATGGACGAATAATCGAGCTTGGGACATTTGCGAGCAGGTTCTCCTGGCTCATTAGATCCCGCTCTACTCCTATCCTTTGGTACAGGGGCTTCTTCGTTGACATGTGCTGGTTCATCCACACGCACTCTTGGTTGCCTGGTTGGGTTGTCTCCTGAACAGGCATGCTCTGATTCAACCTCATTAAGCATGTCAAGGTAGGGTCCGGCGACAGTTGAGACACATTGTTCCGGTGTAGAGAATAACTCAGCTGATATGGTTTCAATGAGGGCAACATTTGCCTCGATTTTGGATGTTCGTGAGCGCCTGTAATCTTTGACAATGCTAATACAGGCTGTTGCCAGGACTTGTTGGGATGTATCCTGTCCATTAGAGTTGGTTTGAGACGTACCCCCTGAAGCTGATGGTCCTGAGGCCACAGCCAATCCAGAAGATTGTGTTTGTGGTGTTGAGCTGGCATGTTCAGCAGACATAAGTTGAAGGATGATCAAATCGAAGATTTAAATAGGTAGCTAAAACTCAATGGTGCAGATGTGCATGAGCAGACGGTGCTTTGCGAGGACAAATGAAAGACGAAAGAGAAATCCAGACTCGTCATTAAGACATATATACCTGTTGAAAGAGGGGCCTCAAATGTGTAAGCCGCTGAGGCTGAGTCACAAGTTGGATTTGACTAGCATTGCGAATTGATTCAACTTGGTCAAACAAGTCAAACCACGAATAAAGTTATTCCCCTCACACGGGGCTGGAACATAACATTTGTAAACAAAGGTCAGCCACCAGTGGATTTCGAACTAACCCTAACGGCATGCAGCGCTGAAAACACTCCTAAACCTCATCATTCCCTAAACTTCAACATTCCTAAACCTTGTGAGTTCCAGATATTCAACTGTCCTAAGCCTTGCACTGCCTCAAACCCTTGTATCTTCTAAACCTCACCATTTCACTTACCACTCCCAAATTTATCACACATTTATGTCAGAAGTACTGTATCTGTAGTACAATTCAGGTTGAGACCAGCATATGTACACTACTCTAATGCACAAGGAAATATATAAGCAGTAGCTAGCTTCAATTTATTGGTTGTTGGATTATCATGTCACTGAAAATTATGACAATGAAAATCACTCAAGTCTTGCACCCCAAATTACATGAAACACTTCAAGGAATATGCTCATACCACTACTAGTACTTATGACTAGGGGTTAAGACATGATCACAGACCATAAGAGAGTATTCATATTTGTCTCAGAAACAAAATATCATCATTTGATACACACATACATTGTACTAACTATTATATTATATGCAATCATACTCAGTGTCACATGATACTCTCAAGGTTTTAGGAAGGGAAAGGTCTAGGTCAGGGTGAGCTTTAGGATGGGAATGAAAAACCAAACATTTAGGATAGGTTTAGGTTGAAGATCTGGAACTTACAAGGTTTAGGAATGTTGAGGTTTAGGGAATGACAAGGTTTAGGGAATGACAAGGTTTAGGAGTGTTTTCAGCTTAGTTAGGGTTAGTTCAAAGTCTGCTGGTGGCTGACCTTTGTTTACAAATGTTATCTTCCAGCCCCTGGTGAGAGTGTGAGGGGAATAAGGTTATGCTGGGTTTGAATTTTTCTTGTATCATGTGACTTATTACACAGTGCCCTCAAATATCACCCCTCCACGCTCAAATTTGGGGCTGGGAAGGAGCCTGGGTTGCAGTTTGAGCTGTGCACAAGCCTGCAAGCAGAAAGCTCAAACAAGTGCTTACTAAGCAAGTGGCACATTTAAGAAGTGACACACGTCTTTTTCATGCCTTGTTCCTTCTTTCTCTTGCGCTCACTTGCTTATTTGTTTCATTAAAAGATTCAAGTACATACACTTGCTTAACTTTATGTAACTTCGTTGATCTATGCTACAATGACCAATACCTCGAATCTTGGACCCCCAAAAGGAGCTGGATGTAAAAGTGTTTGTTCTTTCAACCCTGATAACAACAGGGAAATGTCTGAAGGGGAGGTGGACCACCTTGTGGACTCCTTAGGGAGAAAGCAGGGTAGGGATATCGACCCTATGGATAAGGACTTGGTTGTTGCCGAGAACCTTGCTATAGCTGCTCATAATGAAAAATGTGATGGTCGATGAGCCGATTTGAACTTCATTGAAGAAGTTTTGGACAATGAATCCTTTCTAGAGGAACTGGACATGCCTACCTGTGACTCTCATGCCAAATTCCTCTTCCCATAAACTTGCACGTGCCTTTAGGTTTTTAAATTCACTTACCCCTATGATGCACAAGGCAATAGAAGCCACTTTTAGAGCTACATCGTCTTCAAAATATTCAGTTACAGTACCCTCTACTATGTCTTCCTCAGAGGCCATTGTTTTCAAAGATTCTGATACTGTCCTTATGAAGTCCATGGACTCTGCATTTGAAATACCTAGACCCATCCTTAACCTTGCTAAGGCTCATATTCAGGTCCCACTCACCCTTCTTACCAGAGCATCGCTTTGGAAGATCCATGCAGATCCTTCCATCATCAAGATGATGAAAGGACTCGTTTTGGACAACCTGGAGTTGAGCGTTATGGATGTGTCTGCTGGTTTCCTGGCTGAGACAACCTTGACAGGGGACAAGTTCTATGAGGCTTACAGGAACTTCCTGAAAATCCTAAAACTTATAGCAGATGACGCGACTGTCAAATGTTTCAAGGACCACCGTGATTTTTGTTTGTTGCATGACAAGTTCACTGACGACTTCACTTCTGTGTTAAACTTCGATATCAAAACCAGAAGGAAGTTCTTCAACAACCAGACCTTCCACCATCCAGATGCATACTTACAGCGCTGGAACAAGGTCAAAATCAACACATCTTTGCACCCCAGTGGAGCACTGTCACAAGTTCCAAATACAAATCATTATTCATTCTTGAACACTCGTAAGACATCCAATAAGTACTCAGAACTAGCGCCTGTAGAAGTGCCCACTTCAGCATCTGTACCAATATCCTTTACAAACCGTAACCCGAATCCCTTCATTCCATTAGTGCCCATTACCACTATCTCTGAAATTCCTGAGTATGATTTCCTGTCACAAGCTATCAAGTCATGTGACATCACTAGAACCTTCCAGAACCTTTCTGCAGCAGCCACATGTTTTATGACATCATAGTGTAGTTATATTTAGATCATCGTATGATTCCCTTTACTATTTAATGATTGACTAGTTAGTTCAGGTTCAGATTTAGTCTCTGCTTTAATATATGTATATAAGTAGCTTGATGTAGTTAGTAGTTCTTTAGTTCAAACCTTCTGTCTGTACTTATTGTACCAGCCCAAATGTCACTGGTCAATTCTATTCCTTTTGTTGTAATAACCTTTGTTTGAGTCCTAGTCTCTGCCCTTGCATTTATTCATTATAGGGGTTGTGACAAGCACCCCGTGGTGGGAGTGGCTCACACTACAATCCATATCCTCCTTGTAAGAATGATGACCCTTCATCTGTTAATACATTGAGTGAGGGAAAGCCCTTTCGGAAGGGCAAAGGAGGGAGCAGTTCCAACTCGCTCCTTTGCATTATCTGTGGTTGGAATGGACACAGAGCCAGCAGTTGTACTCACACACACACTTCCAAAAATGAACCTGTCATTAGTATGTGGAATGACAAGCTCCTCCCCAAGTCTACCTCTTCTCCCATCTGCATCTCATTCAACATTGGAAAGTGACACTCACCAAAACACTCATTAGACATCATACACATTTGTTCTGTCTGCAGTGACAAATCACACAGTGTGACCTCTAAGTCTTGCTTCTGATGTCCACAACCACATAGTGACACCATACAATGCCAATGCATACAAGTCACTCCTTCATGAATTCAATTTGACTCACACCCTTCACTTGTCTTCAATCTCGAGCATGGTTTCCCCATTGGTGACACGGTGTATGAGTGAGGTCTATCTTAATCAAGAATGAAGTGGATGTTTCTATGTAAGAATAGAAAACACTCAGAGGAACTTGTGATGCCACATAAGTTAAACTGGTCATCTATGCAAAAGCTCTCGAATTTTTTGAAATTAAGGTTCATATTTGCTGTCCAGAAAGGTTTCCTAACTTGTCCATTTTTCATGCCTTTGTCACACCTTTTCTGTGTTCAAAAAGGTACGGAAAGAGGAAATTACCCTATTTGTACTGTGTTGATTAAAATTTAGATTTGTGCCACCTGTGTGTCACCATAACCGTTACTAACTAGTAACAGTGATGTAATTCAATGTCCCTTACTAAGTAGGGGTGTTTACCTATACTGCAGCGCTTCAGCGAGTTCCACAGCACTCAGCAGTGACTTTGCTAGGAAAAAAAACCTTGGATATAACCGGTAGGTTATTCAAGTATATATTTAGCCATACGACTATATTTAGGCTGCCCACAGTATTTTTATATGCGCTTAATTCCGTGCGCCTCTTACCGACGCTTCTCCGGCTTTTCCCACATCATCTACACAGCCATGCTCACTGTCACGCACAATGAGCACCACTACAGACATCAAATTTCATTGTTTTTGAGCACACTTTTTTCACTTATGATACCATTACTTGTCCTATACCATCCGGCTGCTTGAGACCGCAAGAAACAAGTAACTTCTAGTTATCTCTAACATTGTCATTTGCTTATTCATCAAGGTCATTGCTGTCTTCCACACTGTATACACACCTCTTGCTGAGCTCCCTCCAACGTGTAGGATCCACCATGCCTCCAAAACGTCCATCAAAGAAGATGTCAACATCTTCACAAGTGAAGATGACATCCTCAATAGTGCATCTCATTCGCTACGTACTACAACAGCATCATTGATGCAGATACGGCATGAACAACTGGAGGACGAGAGTAGACGAGCAGAATCAATACGAGGTATGTACTATCATAATTCATCTATTTCCCTTGATGTCTGTCTTTCAGAAAATGCCCGCATCCATGTTCTCTTGGCAGAAGCCCAGCTGGAGGCTGGAGAAAACTATGTCGACGCGACCGTGACGTCTTATGACTGATTTTGCACCTGAATATGACCATGATGATGGTGGTGGGACAGATGCTCATGAGGGCTATAAACTGTTGGACAGTGAATGGTTGCATTCAGACTTTTTCCAGAGCCATGGGCCACAGTGGTCAGTGTGTTTCTTGTTTGTTATTTTGCTGAACATCTATTTTTGCAGTGCTACCACCAGTCAATGTCGTGATCTTCGTACACGAACCCAACAATATTGTTGTGCACACGCTGCATGGACGCAGCAGATGCCAGCACTTGCTCATGCCTATATGCTGTGGAAACATCAGTCACATTCAGAATACAATCAATCTCAAGCACACGATGAGCATATCTTTGGCGTATCAGTCATTGGGCTCTTGGGTAAGCTTTTAGTTTATACTCTTGATTGTTATTATAAGCTTTCTAGCAGATTTTACACCTAATGTGAATGTTGCTCAACGTCATGATGAACCAGCCAACTCAGCACTGCTGCGCATGGGCTTACTCAGCTGCTCACCATTGCAACCAATGGTTGCTATTCATCTCACATGCCTAGAACTTTATCACCAGATTCGCCGCCGTCAATCATCATTTAGCATCCAATCGATTACGAAAGTCTTATGTGCACTTCATAATGTAAGCCTTATGTATCAAATAACATGTTACTGACCCGATGTTCAGGTGACCTACTCTCAGCACTTACGCAATCAATTTTTGATTGCGTTTGATATCTACCTCAAAATTTAATGACTAATTCAACTCAAGGTTGACTGTGCACTTAAGAGAGACCACCCTGACTGGCACATGTCAGGCGCTTGTCCATGTTGTGCCTTTGAGGTGAGTATTGAAATGAGTACATTACTGATTTAATATCATGTTTCAGCAACCGAGCGAAACACCACTTAATCCCTGAAGACTTCACACCATGGATGGCAATCATTCAGTTAAACGTCTTGAAGGTTCCAGCTCAGCAGATGAGCATGTCTTCAACAGCAGATATTTCATCCCCAAGGCTGTGGTGGAACTCTTCAAAGATGATGTTCACAATCGGCCTGGTGAACAGCCGAGTGGTGAGAATGCCAACTGCACTGAAAATTGGACAGCCGCTGTCCTGCATGATTTGGGAATCATGCATGGACATGACTACTAGGTATCCCCCTAAAAGACAAAGTCTGTTAGCTTAGTCCTCAGACTAGTCAACCCATACCTTGGTATCAAACCTTGGTCCAATAGTTTCAGTTTTCCCTCAGTGATTCATGAATCCACCATGTTTTGAAGAAAAGTCATATGTGAGATGGGAATCACATAATGACCTAGTTGATATGAGAAGCAAAATGAAGGTTAAGGTATTGCCTTTCCTTTGGTTTATTCACTTTGGCTAGAGAAACCCATAGAGAAAAGTTCAAAGCCTAACAAAAACCTATCTAAAAAGCCCGCGTATTGTGTACTATTATTTGTTCCATTATTTCTGAGTTGTTTTCTCTAGTGTTTCTTTACTTTACTTTTCTATTAGGATGCTCTGACTAATCAGATGCTTCACAAAATTGTACCTACAGGGTATGATGTCATAATGATGTCATAGGACTTCACCTACACTCCTGCAGGTATTTTGGTTGAAAGATATGATATCATAGTGATGTCATAATGATGTCATGTTCCATGGAATTTGCTAGAACATTCTGCTCCAGTTTTTAGAATATTCTTCTCACATTCTGAAGTCATTACATCACCTTTTTACTTACATAATATTCCCACACAAAATGTATATAAGGAGAGCCCATTCTCCCCCAAAAAAATAGATCTCCCACTTGTTGCATTCAAGAACTCCCACTTGAGCAAATTGAACTCTCACCTAAGAAGCTTCAGTCTGAACAAATTGCTGCTTACAAAGCCCATTTCCTTTGTAAGAACTGTCCAGACAAGTGCAGGGAAAGTGTTTCCCTTGAGATTACATAAGTTTCTCGCGATAGAAACCCAGTTTTGTGAGACGAGTGTTCTCACCACGTAGTGTTTACTGACCAACACGAGCTTTGGTCACCGTTGTTATTTGTGAGACCAGCGTTCTCACCAGGTATTTGTATACTGACCAACACGAGCTTTGGTCATTGTTGTTATTTGTCATTGTTTTTTTATTTGTCATTGTTGTTATTTGTGAGACCAGCGTTCTCACCAGGTATTTGTATATTGACCAACACGAGCTTTGGTCAACATAGTCACATTTGAGACCAGCTTCTCAACAGTTAATCATATATTCAGGAAACCAGTTCAAGTGTCTAGACGGTATATCCTAGACAATCCCATAGTTTCAATCAGAGATAATAAAGCTCTGGCTAAGTTAATCTAACTGATTGGTTTAGCGAGCCTCCCAAGAACTCACACATTATCTACCACAAAAGAAGAAAAGTCGTAGACCGTGTTAATCGAGGACTGGCAAGAAGTCTTATCCAGTGTAATTGTGGTGTCATTACATTCTTACACGTATTTATATAAGACCCTCAGTTATTAAGACACCGCCAAGTCTGTCGAGGAGAACAAAATTTTTGTCTTCGAGCAAACTGGCATCTTCATCTTGGCGTGTCGCCATGGCTTTGTTGAATCTATTGTTGAGATGAAGCGAAGTGGTGAACTGTGAGTGATTCTAGGATTTGCCCTACTCATCTAATATGACATGATTTCATTAGCACCAAGTATGGACTCGCCGCTGTAGAGACTCGCGTTTCTGCAGGCACATATAGGCACATTTTGCACCTTTTCACAACTCATGACAATTGGCCTGCAATGCACGACTTGCACCATCAGCTATATTCGACTTCTATCATGTCCCTAGTCGTTTTACACATAACGCGCAGCTTTCCCGCAAAACGCGCCATAGGCGCGGTACTTTCCCGCACAACACGCAGCATTCCCACACGCGCACCTTGCGCGCTTTATTGCACTTAAGCGCCCTGCATTGCCCTGCATTGCCTATCATCCAGGAACGTCCCTCTATGTCCATCCACCTCATTGGTACGTCATATGCCTTGCCTCGTGGTTTGTAACAAGCATTGCAGCGTTATTACATGTCATTACGTATTCATAGCGCTTATTGCTCCTATCCCTTCCGCTTCCGATGCGATTTCCATAGTATAAAGTTGCTGACTTACTACACCATCATTATTACTCCCCTTTGCTGTACTTCCCTCGCTATTGGGTTTTACCTTAGAGTAGTAGTCACCACTTGGGCGCACTTTGTGTTTCCAATGGTTATCGTTATCCGCCTATACTAGACCTTTATCCGCGCTCGTTATAACACTCGCTCTGCGTTTGCACTCGCTTTGCACATCCGCTTCCTTGTCCGTTTCCTTATCCAGTATTCTCCGCACAACGCGCGCCTTAGCGCTCACGTTCCCACGCTCGCGCTTACCTTAGTGCGCTCTCTCGCGCTTCGCGCTCACTTCGCTTTTCTTCTTGCGCTTTCGCGCATCCATCGCACTTCAAGGGTCTTTCTTTCATCTGGTTCTGTGTTCAGTAGCAGTCCCCTTTAGGGTCGAACGTTCTTGCATTCTGCGAGTATAGCAGCTAGGCAGAGCCAAGACTCACTTATACTGGTTGAGCATTTTTAGATATTTCATATCAGCCCAGCCAGGTTGAGATCGCCTCACCGCAACCAGTCACTTACTCAATGTCTGCGGGAATGAGCAAGCTGTAGGCCACGACATTGGCTGTTCATCACGCAAGACTATCGCAGCAAGTTCTATTGGTGTGAGAGCAAAGTCACTAAATCTTATTGTTGCAGTAAACAGTTTCCATGGATATGCTCATAACCGCCGCTGCCAGCTGCAAAATCATCCTTTGTACCTCAAAGGTTTCGGAAACGAGGATCTAGAAACTTGTGAACGTATCTTCTCAAGTTCTAATAGTGCCGCAGTTCTCGTCCGTCACGCATCCTATTTTCATTGGAGGCAATTTCTGGATCTTCATTTTGACCAATGGGATCATGACAAGTATCTCGAATTAAGTAAGTCAAACATTGTTGATTGAACCGTGGTGTTTTTTGTTGATCAGTGACTAAAGGTCGCTTCTTATTCAATAATTACATTCAGGCACTCAGGATCATTGAGGATTATACGCCTTTGCTTGAGGAGTTCAAGTCCCGGAAATCGCTCACTGACCAAGACTTTATCCAGTGGCATCAAGAAGAAATTGAGTTTCTTGGAAACTTGGCTGTCGAATCACCGTCTGATGTCCTTGCGGTGGCATATGTTGAAGAGCTTGAGAAGCTTTGTCTCACTGAGTTTGTCATTGATGGGCCTAGAACGAATTTGTGACACTTACCCTTAAAATTTAGGTCATTGTATGGCAGTGTCACATCAGTGCCTTTCCTCACGTATACACCTGCTAGCTTTATGCAAACTTCAGGGTTGAATGCCAGCGCTCGGCGACAGTCAAGAACAGTCGAAGCAGAATGCTTATCGGCACTGCGGAAATATGAACTGCAAATGAACGTTGTCGATGACTTTGAGCGGCGGAATGGCATTAATGAGCGTTGGACAACAGCACACCCTGGATATACTCAGGCACTTGAGTATGGTCACGAGCGCCACTTCATTCGGACTGTGGAGCAATTAGAGGGCTTAGTCGTCCAACACTTATTTGAGTTTTCAAAGGCCAACCTTGCAAACACAGGTTCGTATCCCGATTATTTACCAAGTCTCATGCTAATTACTGCAAGAAGGTTACAAAATGCGGAAACATATTTCCAAAGCCATCACACGCCGATCTGCTGCTATTCGCTCGATGCTTGAGAAGTACAACAAGTTAGCCCCTCTTCAAACACCACCTCGGCCCATCCTTGATTATTCTGAAGTTGTCGGGTATGCTACCCTTGGCGAGTTCTCACTGCTCAAACATTCTCGCCATGACCTCCTTTCGAAGCCATGGGCTGTCCCCGACAATCAGGAAATGGCGGCCAAATATTTCAAGGTGGTGAGGTCACACAAGGAGATTGCCCGCCTAAATGTTGAAATACGTCGCCTTGATGCTTGGGTTGAGTATGATGACGCAAAGATGCTAGAAGTAATTGAGACATTAACGGTTGATGAAACTGACTCCCTTCTTGCCGCAGAATTGAGACGGCAGTACAATGAACGGCACCGTATCAACAATGTTCACCGCCATCGTTTGGACAAGATTCGTTACCTCAAGGGCTACAGTGGCCCGGCTGCTGTGCTGTGGCACAACTCTGTGGAGATGGAGAGATCAGACAACAAAGAGGAACCAGTTGATGTTTGGGAGGATGACGAGTTGAATGATGAAGCTTCACGTCTTGAAGATGCCATTTCTCGTCTTTAGTTGTAATGTAGCGCTGTTGTATTCACTATGGTGGCTTTATGATTCAATTACTTCTACCCCTTTGATACACTGAAGCACAAATTTAATTACTTCTACCCCTTCCATGCGCTGAAGCACGAATTTAATTACTTCTACCCCTTCAATACACTGAAGCACGAATTTAATTACTTCTACCCCTTCTATATGCTAAAGCGCGAATCTAATTACTTCTACCCCTTTGATATGCTGAAGCATGAATTTAATTACTTCTACCCCTTCAATATACTAAAGCACAACTCTGATTTACTTCACTATGACAATTCGGCATCAATAAGAGAATTGCTTACATACAGGTGTGAGAGCAACTTTGTTCCAGCACTGATCACACTGCTACAAACAACGATGTCTCCTGCAGACTGTCTGGAATATCTTGATCTGCATGGTCAAACAGTGGGTATATATTCTTTTAGTTTGAAATCATTCTCATTGGTATGAACAGAAACACTATTTCAAGATCAGATTAACCGCTGAATTTGTTTTCGAAAAGCGTCCCGGCATGTTCTGCTGGTTCCCCACTACCAAGACTACTGTCCTTTCATCTGAGCCCATCAAGTGTGAGATCGCAAGGACCATGCTTGAGAAGATCCATACAGACTTTTCATGTTCAGTTGTGCATCAAGTCTGTCGCAATTGGTTTAACTGGAACACTGTAAAGCTTCCTCCAAAGATGCTTCAAAGTAAGTGTTTCTTTTGTATTGTAGCGTCTACTCAGAAATTTGATTTGCTCAGGACTAGCTGCATCACAACAGGAAGAGCTTGAATGCAAGTGCCAAACTCAAGACATGAGCACCTCGTCTTACATTTTCCCCAATCCTTTGAGCTCTCCTGCAATTCTTTCAGTTCTCTCTCCTCAATCCTCAGCTGTTAGTACCCAGCCAGATGACGACTGGAGATATTCTCTTAGTATGGATGCCTCGCTGTCATCAGGACACTTTTCCTTGACATCTGATTGCTCATCGCTACACTCACTTTCCGATGAAGACACTGATAAGCTTTCAAAAACTACTGAGCTTTTGGCAGAAGGTATCACCATTCGCACCAATCGACCACTAATCACACAATTATCGTCTACACACACCCCGAAGACTATTACTGGGCGACAGACGCCAACATCTACATACTCTCTGCAGCCCCCGGCACTTGTTGCTGCGTCCCCTCGTTTGAAAAATGTAGTCTCTTCGCCTTCTCACTCTGCCGTACCTGTCATTCAAAACCCTCCTCCGAGCCCTCCTCCATTCATAGTCGCACCTTGTTCTCCTTGCTTGAAGTACTCGGTCTCATCACCTTCCGCTTCATGTGCTGCGCTACCACACACCAAATCAAACACACCTCCAAGCCCTCCATTCATAGTTGCACCTTGCTCTCCTCGCTTGAAGCACTCAGTTTCATCGCCCTTGGCTCCATGTGCTGTACCATCACATGTCAAATCAAGTGCACCTCAGCTTGCTGTGGGTAGATCACAAATATTTTTGGTTCTGTGGTGCTGACATGTACTTAGGATCAAATCAGAGGTGCTAGTGGTAAAGCATCACGTCAAAGGTCAAAGGTTGAAAATCAGCTTGAAAATCAGCTAGAGAATCCGGTCCAGATCTCAACATCAATGAGAGGGACCGAACAAGGTATATCTATTACTAATCACATTTACCTGACATCAGATTCGCATTTGACCGGGTGTCCAAATGATGCGGACTCTGAGAATATTTCCATGGAAATTCGGGGTTATCTTCAGGATCTCTCGCTTCACGCTATAACAATGGATGAAATTTGGAGGTGCATTGACCAGGTTGATGGATATGGTCCCTTGAACTGGCAAGCAGTTCTTGTGAAGCTGGGAATACCCGAGGAACGGATGAAATATATTCTTGCTGTCATGGCATGTGCAAGTAATAACTGTGGATTGTGAGTGTAATTCGGCCCTTCGGTGCGCGCTAGCTAATTTTTTGTTCTAGCTAAATAGTCTCAGTCCGAATACTTGTCTTAGCAATGTAGTTTTTGATCTAACCTTGTGTGGATTTATGAGCCCTGACTTCAGCAATTCTGAGGCGATGCACACAGAGCAACAAATACACCAAGATTGAAAATTATTTGTTCCCCCCCCTGCTTGCACCATGGCTCGCGTTCTGAACACTCGCCAAACTCGAGCAAAGCTGACGGCCACTCAGAAAGCAGAACGGCGCAATAAACTGGACACTTTGACAGGTGCCATCGACAATGCCAAGGAAGCATATGCGCAGGAGGCTGTTGACATTGCACAGACACATGGTCGGTAAGTTTGGTTTGGACAATCTGTCTTTCCTTACGGCTGCTTGACTCACTCATGTTGTCTAGTTCTCTCAAATGGACTCATAGCCAATTGTTTCTCAAGAGTCGCATGTCACAACAGCGCCAAGGTGTTAACTCATGGAACGGTTTTATCAAGGCGAAACTTAGGGAAGAAAATGAAGGTGAAATTCAGTTTACATTTTCCGAGCTTTGTATTGACTATGCTTTTTTTAATAAAGATCGTAAATGCGGTGATCGTATTAAGCTTACACAGTTCATCGCTGAAAATAAGGATGAACTCCTTGAAGCTTATTCACACCTCATGTTTGCTGAAAAGCGTGCTTATAACACAGAGGTTCTTGAAGCTCGGGTGCAAAAAAGTCATGTCGCCTGAGCAAATCCAAAGGCCAAACGTCATGATATCAATGCAACATTCACAACAATGGACCATGAGGTAAGTCGGGGTCTGGTATTATAATGTTGTTAGCTGACTGGTATTTCATTCTAGTGGATGGCTCTCTGTGCTCGAACTGGCACAGAGGGCTTTTATGTTGCAGTGCATGGGTCCATCGAAGATCTCTCGGAACCCAAGGTATTTTTCACTCAGAAGGTTGAAAATTTTGTCAAAGAGGTCCTTCACGTCAAACCACGACACTTAGGTCTCAAATTAGAGGCTTTTGTGGTTAGCGGTCTCGGTGAGTTGCTAAACATTTGGATAACGACGATTATATTGATTATTGGGTAGATGAGAACACAATAATCACCTATCAATGCCCCTTGAATAAACTCGTCAGTGACTGTCGCACAATCATTCAAGAAGAGCTCGGTAAGTTTAAATCCCTCAAAGCTGATACATTACTGATTATCAAGTCATAGAATCTATCGCGCTTGAGAAGAATATCAAGAAGGCTGTCCAAATGAACTACGTCAACTACGAGCACAACATAGTCGAGCATTGTGGTGTTGCTCTCGTGGGCTGGCCACTTCCTGGACCTGTTTGCAACCCAAGCAAAGTTGGTGGAAGGGCCGAGGTTCAAAAATTGCTCGACGCTCTACAAAGAGATCCTCACCACACAGAATCTTGCCATTGGGTCGTGCTCACAGATGAAGAATTGGTTAAACGAATGACTGAAAATCGGGCACGCCATGCACGCGGAGAAACGGTATATGTTGCACGAAAGAAGAGGAAGGTTATGGGTCAAGAGCACAAGAGTAATGCCACCATCAACACCAATACTGAAGACTCAGATGATACCTCCTCCAGTGATGATACCTCCGCCGGCGATGAGTAATTTTGTAGCTAGTTTATAAGTAATGGTATCATAAGCGAAAAAGTGCACTCGAAAACAATGAAATTTGATGTCTGTAGTGGTGCTCATCGTGCGTGACAGCGAGCACGGCTGTGTGGACGACGTGGGAAAAGCCGGAGAAGCATCGGCGAGAGGCGCGTGGAATTAAGCGCATATAAAAATACTGTGGGCAGCCTAAATATAGTTGTACTATGCCTCACGGCTGAGTCGTCACCCCCCACAAGTCGTCAGGTCACGCTTTGTCACGGCAGCTCACTGCTGCCGCTTTCAGAGTCCGCTCGGCAATGCCTAAGAAATTCGCGGTCGAGTTACAGGTCAAAATTTTTGGTTGGTGTGATGTGGAATATAGTATGCAGGGCGCGGTTGTTATTATAATGGCTGTATGGTGCAGGATATGCTACATGAGAATGAGAACTATGTGGTCCGTGATGATGAGGCAAATGAAATTGATGCTGGTGTAATGTAGAAAATTGCCGAGATGCTGGTACAAATATTGCTGTGAGTTGGATGTACAGGAGGATTGCAATAAGGTATTTCATAGCATAGATCAGGACTATTTAAGTAAGAACCATTCGGATGTTCGCAAGAAGAACAATGAGAGCTATTGGCAGGCAGTGCCAGAACAGGTGGAGTTTCACTTTCGACGGGTGCGGCGCTGATGGCAGTCGGGTTGTCAGTGTTTGATGCGGTGTTTCTCGCGCGCATTCTCCCATTGCCAAACAGTCCGCTGCTCATATACATAGGCCGCCTGTGGGATCACTGGCAGTCTGGCACGCGACTCTCGTGATTTGCCTTTTGGGTGGCTATTTCATTGAGTCATGTCCGAGTCGTCGGCTCACTGACAAGTCGTCACAGCCAGTGGTAGTATTGGTTTAGAACTCCGCTACGGCAGCGCTCGGCTGGCTGTCACCAGCGTGATTTTGACGGCTTTCAATGAACTTCAACAAAAATTGATCGTTCAACCTCGCAATGAAAGGTGCATGATAGAAACATCGATTTAAGTTGTAAACTGTGTGTGGAAGTAAGAATTGAGTGAGATATTTAGGTCGTGACGACTTGGGGGGGTGACGACTCAGCGTGGTAGTAAACGCCCCTACTTAGTAAGGGACATCGAATTACATCACTGTTACTAGTTAGTAACGGTTATGGTGATACACAGGTGATTTGTGCCTTGGTTTGAAATTCCATCAATTTGTACGGGGCAGCGAGAATACCGAACTACCTTTCCGACATCATCTCAAAGCCCAACCTCGAGTGTTTCTCTCGTCTCAAAAATGACCCGCTAACCTTTTGAACGTCATCGACCTCGAGTACTTCTCTCCTCTAGCTATTACTTCTCATGTTTCCATTACCACCTCCCATAACACCCTCGATAAACTACCCCCATGGCAATCAGACTCGTATAGCATCGTTCGGCTTTTCTGTGCAGTGCACTATGCAATACATTGGATCCCACATTTTGCCTTAGCCTTGTGCTACTAGAATGAGTACTACATCTCGAACAACCTATGATGATAGTAACATGTTCGATCTGCATCACGGTACACTTTGAGAGTCACAACACGTCCCCCAACTGACATTAGCGTGTCGCTTTCACTTTTGGCTGACCTTGACATTGCTCTCCCTCCAATCCTAGTTTAGCCACCTCAGCGCTTACTGCAACCACACAAGCGCCCCAGACTACCGTCAACAACATGGAAATACACGTGTAACGTTACCTAAACCCTCAACCCCTTCCTCTCCCTCTCACCCAAACTTCATCCACAGTACTAGTTCCCATATCCCCACCCCCGCCTTCTTCTACCACCCTTTCTGTCTACCATCCAGCCCATCCTCAATCCTGGTCATTTTGCTTCATCGCACTATCATGCCCGTTAGCTTAGAAGGCCGATATATCAGACTTGAAAGTGAGTTGCGCCATACCACATTCGTATCTGTTATCCTCACATTCTATCTACAGTTATCAGCGGAAAAATTCTTAAAGTTCCCTCCTTGCGCATTCCCGCAGGCGTCCATGTGTCCGTCAATCTCGACTCGAGCAGACGCTGGAAATCAACAATCGGTGTCTTATTATCCGACGAATCTATAACGTGGCGCGATAGTGTAACCTTGTACATGTTCATCGAGACTTTCCGACGCAACTGGAGGACTGATCTTCTGTTTGTAGATCATTGGATGCGTCACCTACGTTATCAGTGGAGATCAGGGTTTCCTTCGAGCTCGATTGCATGCTAGGCAATGGAGAAGTTGTCGGAAAACTTGACACATCATGGGATGAGCTGCTAGATCATGGAAATGAGCCTTTCGGTGAGTAACCTCCTTCCCACTCATGCGTGTATACTCATATCTCGTAGACATCTCCTTCCCGTCCGTTGATGGTGTTCACTCTTCCCTCACACTAAAGGCTACGGTTCTACATGATTGTGACTATCAGGACAGCGCACTGCCTGACGTGAGTAACATCAGCCTCTGTGTTGTTCGCATTTGTTGACGGAACACCTGCTGCAGTCCATCGTTGAATGTCAGATTGCTCAAGACACGGATGCGGGCCATGAACGATTTGCCACATACGTGACAAGCGAGACGGTCTCTCACCTGAACGATGCTGTAAAGCATTTCCAGTTGGTCCTGGACCAATGTCCGGTCGGTCATCCTCACCGGGCAGCGGCTCTCACCAACCTTGCGTGGGCCCGCCTTCAAGGCTACATTCAAAACGATTTTCAAGATATCGACTCTATCACTTCTCTCTTCCGCGAAGTCCTTGCATTGCGTCCGCAGGCCCACCCCGATCATCCATTATCCATCTATCACCTCCTTAAAGCGTTGATCTGGCGCTACTGCAAGGAGAACTCCACCACCGTCTATATCCAGGAATGCGCGCAACTGTCCCGCAAGCTATTGCCCCTCTGTCCAGAGGGCACCTACCTTCGTAGCATCGCGGCAGGGCCAAATGGCGTCGATTATGTGATCCCCGCATGCAACAATCTTCCAATAGATGCATCCGATGAAGGCATCCACCTTCGACGAGTCGTACTCGAGCTTTGTCCTCTGGGCAGTGCACACCGTCCGGAAGCACTCGACAACCTTGCACAGGCAGTTGAAGCACGCTTTGACCAGCGCGGCACCATTGATGATCTAGCAGAGAGCATACAACATGGCCGTGAAGCCGTTTCTCTGTGCCCCGAAGGACATGCTGAACGCGACACCTACCTGAATAACTTGGCCTACTCACTCCGGTCCCGTTTTAATCACCAAGGCAACTCAGATGACCTCAATGAGGCCATCTCTTTATATGAAGAAGCGCTGCACCTCTGCCCCGTTGGGCACAAATCTCGTGATTTCTCGTTGGACAACCTAGGAGTTGCCCTCTGGACCCGTTTCAACCAACGTGGTGATGTTAACGACATCATCAGATCCATCAGCCTCCGGCGCGAGGCACTGACATTGCGCCCGCCTGGGAATCCATATCGTGATTACACGCTTAACAACCTTGCCGCTGCGCTCAAAACCAGATATGAGAAAATGGATGCCAGCGAGGATCTCGACGAGGCTATCAACCTCTTCCGGGATTCACTTCATTCAACGCCGCATGGCCATCCACGTCGCCATATCTATCTTTTCAATTTGAGCTCAGCGCTCCGTTCTCGTTTCACGCAAACTCGGAAGAATGAAGATATCGAGGAGGCCATTCGACTCTGCCAAGAGTCGTTGGAGGCTTTGCCTTCACTGCATCCGGATAGATATTTTAGCTACATGCGGCTGAAGAACGCCTACGTGTCTCGTTACCAAGTGCAAAACAACCTCGTTGATTTATCACTCGCTGTAGAGAACTTCCGACTGGCGTCGAGACACCCTACGCAGGGCTTTCCAAATCGCATTGCAACAGCCTGGATGTGGGTTACTACAGCAGAGCAACACAATCATACATCTGCACTAGAGGCCTACATCACATGTTTCGACCTTCTTGACGGCCATTTGGCAACACGATCGTCGACAATTTCACGGCGCAAAGCTGCCGCTGCCTTCAGCGGTGCGAGATCACTGCCTGTAGATGCAGCATCATGTGCTATCCGTCGTGACGATCTATGTCATGCTGTCGAACTTGTGGAGCAGGGTCGTGGCCAGCAGTGGTCGCTGGCCTCTCGACTCAGAACTCCGCTGGAAGACCTGAAGCTTGCAAGTCCGGAACTAACTCACAGGTTCTCAGATATTAACAAGCGCTTGTCTGATGCTCAGGGTTCCGCTGGCAGCACTGACCGAGCTGCTGCTGATCGAGCAGTGATACATTACAGGAGACTTCAGGAGCAGTGGGGAGCAGTGGTAGCTGAGATCCGTAATCTCAAAGGTTTCTCACGGTTCTTGCTCCCGCCTTCATATGAAGATTTGCAAGCAGCAGCACGTCATGGCCCAGTCATCATCCTCGTCGCAAGTCAATACTCGTGCAGCGCCATCGTTGTCCCGACGTCAGGAAAGCTACACCATGTTTGCTTCCCGCGCATCACTCTCACACATCTGGAGAAGCTCAAGAGTGACTTTGCGAGGGAGATACGACTTGCATCTTTTATGCGGCCAGAGGAGACGAGGAAGGAATTGCAAGTCCTCTTGCGGACAGTGTGGGACGAGATCATGCTCCCCATCGTCATTGTCCTCCAGCGCGATCTCAGAGTAACGAGCGGCTCTCGAATATGGCTGTGTCCAACTGCAACCTTCACTTCCATTCCTCTCCATGCAGCTCACCCCTTTCGAACGAAAGCTGACGGACGACGTGAACTATGCCTTGAGGACGTCTATATCTGTTCTTACACGCCGACACTTTCAGCTCTGATCAGATCTAGGCAGATGATGAAGAAACGCATGACTCCGACATTCGTTGCAATCGCTCAAAGTTCACCGGGTGCGGGGCAAGGCGAGGTGCTCTTGGCTGTTGACAGCGAGCTTGAGCTCGTCTGCAAACTCGTCCCTGCGACGGCCAATTCCACCACACTCTCCGGCGACGATGCTACGCGAGCAGGTGCACTCCACGCTTTGCAACACAGCACTTGGGTGCACCTCGCTTGTCATGGGAAGCAGGATCGCGAGCAGCCTTACCATTCATGTTTCGCCATGAGAGACAAACCTCGGACGCTGCTCGACATTATGGAGAAAGACATCCCTCACGCTGAGTTCGCATTCTTGTCGGCGTGTCATACCGCTGTTGGCGATGAGAAGACACCCGACGAAGTCATCCACCTTGCAGCTGGACTCCAGTTTTCTGGGTTCAAGAGCGTCATTGGCACGCTGTGGGTGGTCAACGACGCTGTCGCGAAACATGTTGTCGAAGCTTTCTACAAGAACATGGTCAAGGGTTTGGAAGATGGTGATATGATGGACTGTACGAAGGCGGCCTGGGCACTCAACCGTGCTACAAACGCCGTGAAGACGAAAGTTCCGCTCGAACAGCGGATGGTTTTCATACATATTGGTGTGTAGTTCTATGTCTCATTGTTTCGATATCGTACAGTTCTTCAGGTTATTCTCTTTCGTCTATGCTGTACTTAAAGTTGTAGGAATTACCGTACTACCCTCTGTGTCGCACTCCCCGGGTGCTCCAGTCATCTTGTTTTCGTTTTCACAGTGATATTTGTCTGTCCTAGAGTCTTCGGCAAAGTCATTCGTTGCTCGATCACAACGTGTGTATTCAAATGTTAGCGATATTGTTTTCTGCTGATGATCCCTGCAAACGAGTGTCGCCCTGAATTGTGCTAATACCGTTCTCGGGGTCGTGCAGAAAGATTATACTTCTCGCCCCACCCTACGACAACCTTAAGATCATGCTCACTGTCTTTGTACGTGGGATGCCTGCAGGTTAACAAATCATACAAGCTACTGCCTTGGTCTTTGTTGCATCGTTTCAGCGCCAAGGATCCATCTCAGAATGTACAAGCAATAACTTGCAGATGCGTACGGGCTTAGATGAGGGCGGTCAGTTGCTTCTGTTCTCCATCTTCCACGGCAACCCACATTGTTTACACTCAGTTCGACAGAGCGTGGTGCGATGATGAATGCCACGAGTCCCGTTCATATTCCCCTGCAGTATCTGAATCCTGTCTATGTGGTCGGCAGGCAATCGAGCGGTTCAGGCCGAGAAACCACTTGACATTTTATGCCAAGGCAAGTCTCTGTGACATGCATTGCAGCCGTCTAACTAGGTTCTCCCTGGCAAGATGGTATGTGGGTCAAGATGGAAGTTGTAGATGATATCGAAGTCATACACTGACCAAATACGACTTTCCTGCTACATGCAGACACATCAAGTAACATCGACATATCATATTACCAATATTTTTTGCAAGTCTAAAGAAGTGTAAAGTTTCCACGTGAACGAGATGGAATTGTTCGTTCAAATACGATTATTAGTAGGCTTGTAAACATCGAGAAGTAGTGATGTTAGAACACATTTCAACGAATCATGCCATGGATACAACGGACCCTGCTCGCAACGTCTATCATCCCAAACAACCAACACCTCCATAGACTCTGAATATATAGCTCATCTAGTATAAATATTCACACTGGGTATGGGCGTCAGATGAATACAAGATTGTTTTAGTTGGAGACCGCAGAGGTAGACGAAGTGGTTGCGAAGCCGACTTGGCGATTAGTGGTGTCGAAAACAGAGTAGAAGCGTTGACTGTACGGCAGGTAGTTAGCTTTATACCAATCAAGGTCACGTGAAATACAGACAGGAATGAGTAACCGTTGATGAAGTCGAGACCAGTGCCAGAGTTGGAACCGATATCATTAACGACAAGGTAGATATTGTCGCTGCTACCACCGATGTCAGTGTTAAGGGAGCGGGGCCAGATTTGGCCGTTGGGGGTGAGGCCGTAGGAAGTGCCACCAATGTTGAAGTTCAGGGTTTGCAGGTTAGCATACTGGTCAGAGGTGATCATCAAGAGACCAGTGTTGCTATCCAACGTAGCACCAGTAGCAGACTGGTACTTGTCGAATGCATCTAGTATTCTCCAGTCAGTTGGGGCGACCCATTCATAAGTAGCTTGTCATACCAGTGGCGATGAGAATGAGGGTTGTGCCAGTGTCGACGATACCAGCAGTCGCGGACAAAATGGTGGAGCTACCGTAGGCGATCGATTGATCGATACCCCAGTATTCGCTAGAAGGCGACGTGGTTGTGAGAGGCACGTAATTCACTGAGCTCGTTGTCTTTGAGCTGTCGGAGCCACCAAAGGTGAGCTCGCCAGCGCCGCCACCAGGAACAAAGTAGACTCCGAGTGCCTCGGTGCCAATGGCACCCTTGCTGTAGAGGTTGTCGGTGACAGTGGGGACTAAACCAACATTGGAAACGGTGCCCTGCGTCAGGTCAGTCGGTCCGACACCAAGAATTCCATCGACGCCATTAAAGCCTTGTGCATTCTTTGCAACACCAATAGATTGTCCGGTAATGACCAAATCAGAACTGAGAGTGACTGTATCCAAGTATTCCTCTCCGGAAAAACTGCCGGAACCATAAGAGACGGACTAAAGGGTTGTTGTGAGCAACTTTTCAGCAGAGACCATGGATAGACATACAACAGAGCCACCAGTATCCACACTAGTATTGGTGCGTGTGTATGGGGTGTTTGCACCCACCCAGGTGTTGGAGCTTCCCGTATCAATGAGGAGCGTGTCTGAGAAATTCCTTTAGTCGAAAATATCTGAGGTCACCCGATGGCGAGTCTTACACTGAGTTGCAGGGCTGCCGACACCAACTTGGGCAGTGTAAGCCGTGACAGCACTGGCTATGCTGAACGAGGAACTGCCAGCACGTTTGCTGAAACTAGCGTTTATCATCGCCTGAGCACGAGCCCTGTCAGCGTCAGCGATATTGGCATCACTAGCCCTGGCGTTCATCCTAGCGTTGAAGGCAAGGGTCGGCGCAGCTTCACGGCGCACGGGGGATGCGTCCACAGCGGACAGCGCAATAAGGACGATAGAAAGGAGAGCCTTGGAAGGGAACATCTGAAGGTACTGGGTGAGGAATGATATCAGCTGGAAGTGAGACTTCAATCGTCAGTGCAAAGACTTTATATGTGTCCTGGCCTCCAACATAACCATGCGATACCCACAGTCTCAAGTCATACAAGACTGCGGGACTTGCTGTATTTCCGTCCCATCCCAGGGAGATAACGAGATAACGATGAGAGGTCTCCGAAAACAACATTGCTGCACGCCGTCGTTACCAGAAAATGATTCATTGCTATAGAAATCAGAGAGCCCAGAGTGTCATTTCGACGAGGCTTAGCAGTCGCCCAGAAGATTTACCGGACTGTGAGTATTATGGTATTTTGGTTCGCCATCATGATCGAGTACGTTGCCTACCACGTTCTGGCCAGAATCGGTGCAAAGAACATAGAGTTTCGCCTATCAGACGGAGCTTGCAGAGGATCCTAACTTTATCCTCTGCTAACCACGACATGACAAACATTCCGGCATGTGCATGAGGGCTATACTTTTTCAGACTCGTTATAGCTGGCCATACCAGTGTAACTGAAACACACCATGAAGAACCCACACATGACCGGCACCGCCCCTGGGAACGAGTCTCGAGATCACTCATGCCTGATGATCTCAAGAATTGGGGCTTGGAGACCTAGCGTGGTTTGCACGTTATGTCTGACAGCAGAGTCCCGAAAGCCCGATTAATGATGTTCATACAGCCACGTTGCTTATGCGGTAATCGAAGGCCGCCCACGCGTTGCTCATAATCGTACTGAATACTGAACGTTGAACGAGGCTGGACAACGCACTGTTATGAATAAATTTTGTTGGTCGTAAGAACTTCATGAAACTCCTAGTGCCATCATCAAGCCCGTTGAAACTGGAGAAGCCAAGCTGGTAATCCTGATGTTGATAGCGGTCATGTGGGTAAAGTTTATTATGAACTGCCGAGGCTACTGAATACATGGTACTCTCTGACGGTAGTATTGAGGGTGAAACAAAAGCAATGCATTTGTAACTCAGCGAAGATGATCACGAATTTATGTAATTGGCTACTGTTTGTTTATAGCAGGTGATCGTCGACGACTTGAAAGACTCGGATCAAACACTCTGCAACATCATGCGCACGGTGTGGTGAATATGTTCCATCCTTTTGGGGGCCGGGCTGAATACAAGGTCTCTATGCTCAGTGTTCATCAAAGTCACCGGCCTGCAGGTGGCGGTCAATCAACTTTTGGTTGCGGTGCATGCGGGCATTGCTTTGAGACTGAGTCCACTCCTCAATTTGACCATAATATCTATTGGCGTCCTCATTCCCTCGAGGTTGTCAATATTGATAGTACAATCACGCGACGTGGCACGATTCATCGGCCACCATTTTGATCTAGAACGCATTTCCGCAAGTTCACCGACATGCGGCTTCTATCGCCATTACTATTGCATCCATGTGCTCGAAATGATGCTTTTAATCATAGCGGGCGGATCTACGAGGGGGCGTGAGCATCGTCGGAAGACCTAGCGAGTGCAAGGTGATCGGCGGGCGATGCGATCGATGCGGGGTTAAAGCACTTGCTGTAGAACTGCAGTGCACTCTGAATCTCTTTCTCACGCAGCCCTTTCCTAGGCCTCATCCCTGATGCACCCTGGATCATTACATTGCAATATATTCATTATCCCGTACTATGACATCAAATTCATCATGTAGAAAGGAGAAACACTGACCAGCAGCAGTGCAGCACTGCCCAAAAGCAAATGAAAGCCAGGTCATAGCTCGAAGCGTAATAACTGAAGCAAGACGATGGTATCAGTAGGTCCAAGTCGAGCCGCCCGAGTGAGGTTGTCGACAACCTCCTTGTGCGCTGGTAGTGCCGAGGCGAGTACTACTAAATGCGGAAGACTAGGAGCGATCTTCCAGACGGGACTGCCTTCCAAGGCGCACACTTCCTTGTTATAACTCGCCTGATTCATATAACGACGGCGATCGAAGTTGTTGTTCCCTCGTTCACAGGCCCAGCCGTGTTTATCTGATGATACTATCGATACTGGCTCAATTGTCGAAAATATGCCGTGTGCATATCTATCAGTGCCTCGATCATGTGGCGCCCTCTCTCGGAGTTCACGCTATCCATATCAACTCCCATCCACTCCAAAACGCAATTATCTTGAATGACCCGTTCGAATGACGGTTATACATAGATATCTTGCCGACTCATCGGCCTCTGGGCGTCTGGATGCGGAGGGACTTCACGCAACCATCGCATTGCCGTAGCCAACAAGATGGTTTATTAAAATCACATCGGTTTCTCCATCTGCATCATATTGCCACTCGGCGGTGATAGATCCGGAAGCCTTGGCTGAAGAGAAGAGAGAAGATTCGAAACACTTGCGTTCTGCATGATGTCGTCGACTTACAAGGTCAAACAATGAGCATTGGGTTTCAAACGGAAGTGATACAGGTCAGGTGCGTATTGCGTTCCAATGTTGTAGGAATACCTTGTCACACTATGTAGTGTTCTGGCAGATGTGCCCCGCCCACTGATTCCCAACAAATTAATTGTATTGGCACCACACGACCAACATCGGCCTCCATCTACTTCGTGAATTTCTACACCACATGTGGCTTCAAAATGTCTACTACTTTACATCGTTGAACCTGAGGTAGTGACAAACAGGAAATCAGGCTCTATATTACTTCGACACATTAATGCTGGGCATAAGCCTATTAACGTACCAAAGAAACTTGGCTCGAACCAAGTACATCATCCCCTTTCCCAGCAAAGGATAACTACCAGAAACTTAACCTCCGCGGACGACAACTAATTGAGCATGCTGTACAGTGGCTTCGAACCCACTGAGCAGTGAGCGTCCACGCTCCTGGTATCTTAAGTTTTGTATCGAGATCATGAAGTTGTTTTTAATGAATCAACTCGTGAGGACACTATACAAAATACACAATCTATCGATGTTCCTCGTTCGCTGCTGAAAGGTTGCTGATCGCTACGTCATATACATCTTGCAATTGTGCGTAAATGATCAACTTCGGTCCGTCCAAGGTACTCCCCCATTGCATCCTGTGATTCATTTGCGCCAAAATATCCGCTTTATGTGCAATTTCAGGATCAGTAGCAATACATTGGAGTTTCAAAAGGTTTCCAGCAACCATAAAGTAGTGCTGTCATCGGAGCGTCAACAGCCCCGAAAAGATACAGCGGTTGTCGTCCCAAAAATGAGGACCGTCCTATGTGGATCTCCGAAATGGTATGGCCACCAAACAGCGTGCGGTAAAGTTCTTTGGTCCAATATCCAGTCACTGGATCCTCATCCCAGAGCCGGCGGTTGAGACCGCGTCTCACGACAACATAGAATAAAACAAGAATGAAAGACTCTAGGTCATGATGTACCCCACGTTCAATATGTTCGGGACAAGCTGTCTTGAACTCGTCTGGGAGAAGCATCATGTCCAGAAGTTCTCCGGCCATGAACAAAGTAGTGCCCTGAACATGAGTTCAGTGGAAGCTAGCAAGCTGCAAAGTAGACATACCGGAATCTCTGCGCCAGGAACCTCTGAGCTTGATGGAACGGTGTCCTTGCAAAAGATGCCTCTGGTGTTCAACTGGCTCGTGGAGGGGGAGAGCGGATGCGATGAGACTATGGTTTCTGTGCCACTGAGGCAAGTTCGAGATCTGCGACGAACCCTTCCCAACCTTCAGCACAGTTCGGATCACCGAGAAAGATGTTGCCTGGACTTATGTCTTGATGTAGAATGCCCTGCTCCACGAGTGCTCGATGTCCTGGAAATATAATAATCCAGGATGGTGATCAGCACGCTAACTAATGATGTCGAACCTTTGAGTGCAGCGAGAGATCCCAGAATAAATTCTTTCGTTGTTTCGGCATCCCACAAAGGGCGTCCCACAGTTTTTAGCACGAGACGATGGAGGATAGGATCATCGGAGATGTTAACATCATCATCGCTAAGAATAAGAGAACGGAGTGTGCCGACTGTAACATGAGTGTGCATCTCCTTTATTACAGGAATACGGACATTATCGCCAAGACTCAGTTCAGCGACGCCTGGCAAAGGTGACTTGATATGCCTATAAACGCTGGATTCGCTTTTCCGAGTTTGCGACCTCCATATAATTTTCAAGGACAACAACTTCCTTCTTGTTTCCAACCGATATGGCTCGCCACGTGGCTGTACCGCGACCTAGTAAAGACAAAGAAGACCATATGGGAGGACCCATAGTCTTCCACAGAAGCGTTTCGCCATCTGTACCCATGCTGACCAAGAAGGAAGGATATTCAACCTGGTAGTACGAATGTCCTTCAAGTAAGCAAGCCGACCTGTCATGTCCGAGCTGATAGTCAGTCATGTGGGTGTTTAGCTGAAGGACTACATTGACTAGAATATCAAGATTGTCGTCGATGTCATAGTCGTCGGACAGGATGACTCCTCGACGGTCATACCAACCGAGGCAGAATTTGTGGCCGTAAATGAAGACGCACAGGACATAAAGCTGGAACGGTCGTGAGACCATGATGAGCCTTGCATAATCGGCTCCTTGCGACACGATCTGTTTGACAACTGCGGTGTTGGTCGTATTGGGACTGTCCTTGAAGTCAGGTCTGACTTCAATGAAACTGCAAATCTGCCTCCACTTGACTTCATCATCGATGACAGGAGTCAGTGGCCCCGACGCTGGGGGTACTTCAGCAAGGACAAAGACAGGCTTCTTGTCAGGAAAAGACATATTTTCAGCATTGGGGCCCGCGCGTTCGTCCATTGACACCACCTGATGAAACTGTGATCTTTTGTATCCTGTCACTTCTGCCGCTGCACCCTCGATCGTGCGAAATATCCTTTGCTGTGAAATTTCCTGGCATGACTGATGCGGCCAGGTTGACGAAGCGCATGCTTACCAGTGGTGAGTATAGATAAATTTCATCGGATTTGTCTCGTACGGTTTGTCGAAATTCAGCCAAATCACCGCTTGCCCTGATGAACGTTTCAACTGTTTTGATGATGGTGTGGATATCGTTCACATCCGACCATTTCTCGTAAACCTTGATAGGTTTGGACGATCGGTATTCGATGTGACCAAGGAGGTTCCGTTCGTAGAAGTCTCCTGAGCTAGTCATAAAGTTCTGTGTGGATCAGTGTGATTTTCCGTTGGCAGATATCGGGAAGATAAAGGCACCCCGAGGGACTTAAGAAGAGACGAAGTGCTTGAATTGATAGCGCCCAGTTAAGCGCTGAGTTTGAATGTAATAGTTACAACGTTATAAGCCAGGCGGACTTCAAAACTATTCTTTTCTTCAACCAGCTCGAAGGCCACGGAAGCTCATCACGTACAGGTTGCTTTATGCATCCACATTTCTGAGCGGGCTAAGGTCTGAGCATTTCAATCCCCCTCGATTGGCTCTAGCGGAGTCTGGCTGTAATCAGCTGCGCGACGTACCAGAAAACCAGCTTCATTTTCATATCCCAAGATCCTGTTCCAGCAGAGGAGGGCGAGAATGAAAGCTCTGAAAGCGTTGCGGGGATTGGGCAAGCTTGCTTCCGTCGTGTAGCAGTCCTATCGCGCGTGCGCCCGTCAATGGCGCTCAGGGATACAGGGAAATGTGAGCTAGATGCTCCAGGTCCCTTGCAGGTCCCCGGGCTTTTGTCGCGGTACATTCTTCCCATCTAAATCACTAGATGTATGTCTTTTCATCACCCTCAGGATCTACTCCTGGGTCCTGGTGCACATGCAGACTGCAATCGAGGTATCCTCCTACGGTGCCTACTCTACCTATGAGCGTCTCCGCTGAGCTTCATCAATAACCGCTTATGACTGGAGACGACACGACGTGTTGTAGCTCTCTTTGCGTATGAGGGATATACACAATGGCACTGGTTTGTCCTTGAGTTCACTTCGTGGCTCGCATATCCTTCGTGGATTGGGAAACTCGATTCAGACTACTCTTGGGCTGGTTCTTACAATTTTTTACTTCTTGAACTCCTTTGTGGAGTGTCATTTACCCAGTGTCCATGGTCTCCGCTTACCTCCAAACTGGTCGGAAGGAACGTGGTCGAAGGATGGGACTAGTGATGTATATGGTATGCAGTGTTTATTCCTATTTTCACCTTCCAAGTTTACCTGGTAAGGACTAGTTTTTTTTGTATTCATAGCAACCACTTCGTCATCTATTTATATGCACATTATTCCCGGAGCTCTGCTATCATCAACCACATGCTTAAGCTTATCGCTGCTGCGTCTCACTAATAATTGCGCTGAATAATGTGGGATTGCGATATTCAACTGAGGCATGAATTCATCTGGTGGGCGCCAGTTGGTATATATATATAGCATGGAAGATATGGAAGTCGTTCCTCGTACACTTGATCATTTACCCCTCAACATGCAGCCGCCAGCAAACAAGCCCGCACCCGCCATCCCATACTTTACCCCTGCGCAGGTCCCCGCTGCAGGCACAGCATTCGACCCCCAGCCCGATGGAACTCGTATACCAAAGTTGTTCCAGCCCATCAAGATTAGAGGGACAACATTCCACAACCGTATCTTCGTGAGTCATCGTATCGATCGATGAGGTCCCCTGATGTCCCATCCCAATCTTATGTAGCTATCTCCACTGTGTCAATATTCTGCAGACGACGGTCATCTCACGTCCTGGCATATGGCGCACCGTGAGTTTATGAATCTCAAGCATGATATAAGTACCCACGGCATTTAGTGGGCGGCATCTTCACGCGCGGTCCTGGTCTCTCTATGATCGAAGCCACAGCGGTTGTCGCAGAGGGTCGCATCACTTCTGAGGACGCAGGTCTCTGGAAAGACAGCCAAATCGAACCCCTCCGCAAGATAGTCGAGTTTGCCCATTCACAAAACCAAAAGATCGGCATTCAGCTTGGCCACGCCGGCCGGAAAGCGTCCACTGTTGTGCCGTGGTTAAATACGGGTCTTGTAGCGACTGAGAGCATAGGCGGATGGCCAGATAATGTATGGGGGCCTTCCACGGTCCCTTACAAGGACACCTTCCCTGTGCCTAAGGAACTATCGAAGGCGCAGATCAAGGCGACCGTCGTCGCATTTGCAGAAGCTACGAAGAGAGCGTTGAAAGCTGGCATTGACGTCATTGAAATTCACAACGCACACGGCTATCTACTACACTCTTTTTTGAGCCCCGTCAGCAACACACGCACAGATGAATATGGCGGCAGCTTCGAGAATCGCATTCGTCTAACTCTCGAGGTCGTGGATGCTATCCGTAACGTTATTCCTGAAGACATGCCACTCTTCCTGAGGTATCTTCGAGTCCATAAGATGTTCTTGCTTGATCTGAATGATGCCTCGTAGGATTTCTGCGACTGAATGGCTCGAAGAAGCGCTTCCAAATGAACCATCGTGGCGTGTCGAGGATACCGTCAGACTTGCTGGCATTCTTGCCGAGCATGGCGTTGACTTCCTCGACGTCTCTAGCGGTGGAAACCACCCAAAAGCCATCATGAAATCCGGGCCGGCATACCAAGCGCCGTTCGCACAGGCAGTCAAACAAGCTCTTGGGGATAAGCTTGTCGTCGGGTGTGTCGGGTCAATCGCCAATGGCAAGGTCGCCCAAGAAGTGCTTGACAAAGGTCAAGCCGATGTCGTACTGGTTGGACGACAATTCCAAAAGAACCCGGCGAGTGTTTGGGCGTGAGTGTATACTCGTGAGATAAGTTAGCACCTGACCTGATGATGTGTTGGTAGGTTTGCGTCAGACCTTGGCGTCGCGATCAAGATAGCGAACCAGATTGGGTGGGGCTTCGGGGGTCGAGGTAGCAGTCATAAGAAGATTGACTGGTGATTGCAATGGTTAGGAGTTTTGATACAATGTATATGGGGCGAACAGGAATGTCGCGTATACCCACGCACAATTACGGAGACACGAAGACCTTGAATCACAAGATGTTGAAGCAAAGCCCATGTTGCATAACTCGAAGTGACCCACCGGCAAAGTCAAGATTGGGCATCGTGACAGCGAATAGTGAATGGTTAGCATCCAATGAAACTATCCACCCTTCACTATCATTTTGATACCTACTGCAGTCCAACTTCTGATCACGAAGCTGTCCTCAAATCACTTCAAGTATCAGAGGCGCAAATCGATCGCCCAAGAATTATGCTGTCAACTCACTCCCAGAAAGCCCTCCCGACCGCCCGAGTGACGATGAAACTTTGGAGGTTCGCTTGGGTCGTCATCATATGTACACACTATCCTCCAGCATCTCGGATAAGGGTGCAGCAAGACCAAGACCAGTGTATTCGAGCAAACGCCCACCGGAGTAATTTCTGTACTGACAGTACACCATCTGAATCAATGCTAGTATTACTCGGGGAGGTCACTGCAGTGACTCTGAGCGACGTGCTTGTATAAGTAATAATGTCGTTAGCCTGAGGAGTCAGAACAAACCGTGACAACGACACGACAACGGTGGTAATTGTCTCATCCAGTATAAGGCTTTGCTCTTGCTCTGATTAAACTGTTTGGATCGGATATCGCAAGCTCTGATGATCGGTAGCATTCGAGCACTTTGAGCTGCAGGTCGTAGTACGCGGGAATTGCGCGGGGACCCGATGAAGTTCGGATTCGCGAGAGATTCCGCAAGTATGAAGCACATCATACTACAAATCGCTAGCCAAAGGCACACACAATCCCATATGCTCGTATGGAGGCAATATTGCATGCAGTGGACACCCGAACTCGAGAATTGCCGCCTGAGTCGGCAGAATGTGACTTTGCTTTGCTTTGCTCTTCGGATATGAGAGTTTGTCTCGGACTCCACAGAATTCTAAGCATTATGGATGGATCGGTGTGTATTGCAGTCCAAACTTCACGCGCACGGTGGAGTGAAGCGGGGCACGGCTCGCCCACCGCTACGATGTTAATAACCGATGTTAGTAAGTCATCCGTATTTTTCACCGAGCCCTATTAATTAATAATAAGTGACTCACTGTCATTTCAAAACAGCTTGATCATTGCGCAATTGGTTCAAATCCTCGACGACGTCTCTCGAGGTAACCATTACCTGGATAGTTTCTAACAGCACTTTCGAACTCAGCCAGTACTTTCAGTTTCATTGCATCTCGCATATCATATTAGAACCTTCGTCAATGAGGTGACGATCAATGTCAGTACTTCCATCTCTTATCTCTCGCATGCTTTCTCACCTCTTTTACAGTTCTTGAAGGAACTTGGACGAGACTCTCCGAGGTTGCCGTCAAGGGTGCCCAACACAACTCCGTGAACGCCAGCCCCACCCGAAATGTCTGCAAGGGACCCGGGTTGATCTCCTCAAATATATCCATGAATTACTGGACGACCCAGAGAAGAATCAACTCATTTGGCTGCATGGTATGGCTGGTGTCGGAAAGTCTGCCGTTGCGTTTACAGTTGCCGAAAAGATGAGAAGTCTAAAAGTGACCGAAGAGACGAATATTGAAAAGCGGCTAGCGGGAACATTCTCTTTCTCGCGCAAGCACACTAAACGTTGCACGGCTGGATATTTCTTTGCAACGCTTGCCTACCAGCTTGCCACCAATTTTCCAAGCGTCCGGCAGGATGTGAACAGAGCCATCCGCAACAATCCCGCTCTACTAGATCCAGACACGTCTCTCTGCGACCAGATGGAGGCTCTCTTTCTCCAACCCCTCCGGAAACTTCGACCCAGATTACGTGGATGTCCGCCTTTGTCGTTTGTTGTCGATGCGTTTGATGAATGCACGTCCGAACCCGAGCTTACCGATCTCATCTTTTCTCTTGCACAGGCTCTTCGTGACCCTGATCTTCCCGCGACCCACATTCTGCTCACAAGTCGCTCGGAAACCCATATCTCTAAAGCCTTTCAGAACGAAGAGGTGCGCCTGTTGGTGCACGAGATACCCGTGAGAACTTCTGGGGAGGGCGGCATGATCTCGTTGGACGGCACAGACGTTGATAACGACATCTGTACTTTCTTGCGGCATTCCTTCAAAGAGCTGGAAGGTCGCCATCCTGATTTCCCTCAGCCATCGAGGGATGACCTTGCGAAGCTGGCGAGCCGAGCGGGCAGACGTTTCATCGTGGCGTCTACGATGATGAAGTTTATTATTGACGATGAAGACACCGATCCCCGCGATCGGTTGCAGCTGATGCTCGAGCTGACAAGTAAGCTACTACCAGGAACGGACGTGTACAAGTTATACGACCGTATTCTCTCCACGTGTACAAGCGGGCATACCTGTACTTGTCCCTCGTTGCTGCCCTCACAGACCCTCTGCCCATCTCGCAATTCTCAACACTTCTTGGCCCTGGTTTAGGCACGGATGTGCAAACGACGCTGATACAGCTACGGTCTGTCATGGATATCCCTACAGACAGCACTCTCCCCGTGAATATTTATCACTCGTCCATTCGTGACTATGTTTCCGACCCCTCAAACTGCGGCCTCCCTCAAGTACGTGATATCGCATCACCTCACTCCCTACTCGCACGTTCCTCTCTCCGCTTGATGAAGGCAATTCCAGCAAGCACGGCTTTCTTGGATGCACTCTCAGAACTGAAGAAGCAAAGCAAAGCCATGCAACTCGAGGACCCTCATAGGTTAAAGGACTCGTTAGTATTCCTTGTTCGGCCACCAGAGCCACTGTCAGCTGTCATATGTATGCTGTGGCTTCGAGGAGATTGCACTTCAGATTTACAATCCTGGCTGGGGACAGGTCCAGACTCTTGAGCCGTTCACGCGTAGCCCAGCGCTAGCACTCGAATCTGTTACCCTCGAGTTCTCTCGAACTCTTGAGCAGTGGCGCATTCAAAGCCTGTTTGCACCATCATAAAGGTCGCTCATGACCGTAGCTTGATGGCGAGACTATTTTTGCATCTGCTGTTTGGATCAAGTATGATTTGCCCATCTTGAAATGTATGGCATTTCATAACCTGGTAAAGCACTACGTCGCCAGTGCTGTATAGAGGCAGAGCAACTGAAAGCCGTGCCTCCGACTACGATCGATAGCCATGGATAAGTGAATCCAAGGCAGTGCCTGATGCAATCTGAAACTCGTTGGTCCCACTGTTAATCGTCTTGCCGCCCTTCTTTGACAGCCGGTCCTGCGCACGGACAATATTTTACATTCGTTGCTCTACGTTGCCGACATTGTTTAGTGGCACGCGACTCGGAGCCACGACCTTGAGATGCACTTAGGCCTTAGGCTGGTCACTTTGTTCTTCCCGTCAGTAATCGTCTTCGGCGCTCAAGCCTGTCGAGGTAGAACCGTACTCGTTGCTTCTCAAGACCACTCACAGCAAATCTGAGTCGCAGCTAGTTGATGATCTTAGTTCGCCGTCCCCTGTGAAATCTATCACATCTTCTGCACTGCATTCAGGTGCACCGCACTCGTCGATGCGAGTTGCGTTCAATCCAACCTATCTCTTCCGACTACCGAACGATTGGGTGTCCATGCATGCCATGTATTGTGAGTGGGCTTACTAGTACTTCTCTCGGGACATGTCTTGCACAAACATACATATATATGTATTTGAAGCAAGTGTGGGCTCTGGGGATGATAAGCGCTGGGCACCGACTTGATATTGGTGCAGGAACGGAAGCGGTGATAGAGGGTGTGTTCTCAGGCTGTTAGTACTGATACTATCGTCTAGCTTCAGCTATTCCGACGCTTCGAGCTACGACCTGACTTTCACTTGGTTTTGGGTGGTGCTGCTGGTATAGATTTGAATCAGCGTCTCTCCTTTCTACATGATAAAACTGACGTCTGATCATAGTATGGGCAATAATGAAGACATTGCAGTGTAGAAATCCAGGGTGCATCAGAGATGAGGAGAGGGCTGCGTGAGAAAGAGAATCAGTGCACTGGAGTTCTACAGCAAGTGCGCAATGGGATCATATCGCCTGATCACCTTGCACTCGCTTCGAAAGAAGGTCTTCCGACGATACACACGCCCACCTCGCAGATCCGCTATTAAAAACATCATTTCGAGCACATGGATGCAAAGGTGATCGGAGCACGCCGGTGAATTTGCAGAAGTGCGTTCTAGATCAAAATGGTGGCCGAGGAATCGCACCACATCGAATTAAGTACTAGTGTACTATCAATATTAATTACCTCGAGGTCATGAGGATGCCAATGGATATCGTGGTCAAATTGAGGAGTGGACTCGGTCTCAGTTGAGTGCCCCGCGTGGATCACAACCAAGTTGATTGACTGGCACATGCAGGCCGATGTCGTTGATCAACGTTCGAATGCTGAGCACGGAGACCTTGTATTCAGCTCGGCCCCAGAAGGAATGGGATGTATTCCGATCACGCGCATGATGGTTGTTGTGTTGCACAATGTTTATGTGATCCAGTCGACGATCACCTATATTAATCAAACCAAGCCAATTACGTATAACGAGACGTAAAATCGTTATATGAATCCGAGTCTTCGCGCTTGAGCTGTGTTACAATTGTATTCTTTTGTTCCACTCCAGTACCTTGGCAGTTCATAACAAATTTTACCCACATGACTGCTACCAAAGATGATCAGGATCACTAGCTTGGCTTGTCAACGGGCTTGATAATGCGGCGCTAGGAATTTTATGAAGTTTCTTACAAACAACATTAATTAATTTTTATTCATAACAGTGCGTTGTCCAGCCTCGCTCAACATCAGGCTTTCGGGACTCTATTGCCAGACATAACGTGCGGTGCCACGTTAAGTGTCCGAGCCGCAATTCTTGATATCGAGACTTGATCCCGGGGGCGGTATCAGTTATGTGTATGGTTATTCATGGTGTGTTTTCGGTTACGCTGGTATGATTAGCTACAACGAGTCTGAAACAATATAGACTTAAGGCACATGCCGGGAAAGTTCGTCATGTCGTGCTTAGCAGAGGACAAAGTTAGGGTCTTCTGCAAGCTCCGTCTGATAGGCGAAACACTGTGTTCTTTGCACTGATTCTGACCAGAACGTGGTAGGCAACGTACTCGATCATGATGGCAGACGGAAATACTATGATGCTCACAGCCCGGTAAATATTCTAGGCCGCTGCTGAGTGATTGTCGAAATTGGACTCTGGGTTCTCTAATTTCTATAGTAATGAATCATTTTCTGGTAACGACGGCGTGCAGCAATGTTGATTTCGAGACCTCTCATCGATATCTCTAACCCCCCTAGGATGGATCGGAAATACAGCAAGTCCCGCGCCTTGCATGACTCGAGACTGTGGGTATCGCATAGTTAAGTCGGAGGCCAGGACATATATAAAGTCTTTGCATTGACGATTGGAGCCTCACTTCCAATTAATCTCATTCCTTACCCAGTATCTTCAGATGTTCCCTTCAAAGGCTCTCCTTTCTATTCTCCTTATTGCGCTGTCCGCTGTAGACGCATCTCCCCTGCGTCGTGAAGCTGCGTCGACCCTCACCTTCACTGCTAGGATGAACGCCAGGGCTAATAATGCCAACATCGTTGACGCTGACAGGGCTCGCGCTCAGGCGATGCAGCATCCTACTATCAGCAAGCGTGCCAGCAGCTCCTCGTTCAGCATAGCTAGTTCTGGGACGGTTTACACTGCCCAAGTTGGTGTCGGCAGCCCTGCAACTCAGTGTAAGACTCGCCACCGGGTGACCTCAGATATTTTCGACTAAAAGAATTTTCAGACACGCTCCTCATTGATACGGGAAGCTCCAACACCTGGGTGGGCGCGAAAACCCCATACAAACAGACCAGTACTAGTGTAGCTACTGGTAACTCTGTCGTGTGTCTTTTCACGCCCTCTTCTAAATAGTTGCTCATAACAACCCTTAAGTCCGTCGAGTATGGCTCCGGCAGTTTTTCCGGAGAGGAATATTTGGACACAGTTACTCTCAGTTCTGATTTGGTCATTACCGGACAATCTATCGGGGTCGCAAGCAGTTCACCAGGCTTTAATATCGCTGATGGAATTCTTGGTGTCGGACCGACTGACCTGACGCAGGGCACCGTTTCCAACGTTGCTTCAGTCCCAACTGTCACCGACAACCTCTACAGCAACGGTAACATTAGCACCGAGGCAATCGGAGTCTACTTTGTTCCTGGTGGCGGCGCTGGCGAGCTCACCTTTGGTGGCTTCGACAGCTCAAAGACTACGGGCTCAGTGAATTATGTCCCTCTCACAACCACGTCGCCTTCTAGTGAATACTGGGGTATCGATCAATCGATCGCCTACGGTAACTCCACCATTTTGTCCGCGACTGCTGGTATCGTCGACACTGGCACAACCCTCATTCTCATTGCCACTGGTATGACAAGTTGCTTATGAAGGAGTCACCCAACTGACTGGAGGATACTAGATGCATTCAACAAGTACCAGTCTGCTACTGGTGCTACATTGGATAGTAACACTGGTCTCTTAATGATCACCTCTGACCAGTATGCTAACCTGCAAACCCTGAACTTCAACATTGGTAGCACTTCCTACGGCCTCACCCCTAACGGCCAAATCTGGCCCCGCTCCCTTAACTCTGACATCGGTGGTAGCAGCGACAATATCTACCTTGTCGTTAATGATATCGGTTCCAACTCTGGCACTGGTCTCGATTTCATCAACGGTTACTCATTCCTGTCTGTATTTTACGTGACCTTGTTTGGTATAAAGCTGACTACCTACCCTACAGTCAACGCTTCTACTCTGTTTTCGACACCACCAACCACCAAGTCGGCTTCGCAACCACTTCGTCCACCTCTGCGGTCTCCAACTAAAA